AGACTGTCATACAGAGTGAAGTAAGTCAGAAAGAGAAAAACACATACCGTATGCTAACATGTATATATGGAATCTAAATTTAAAAAAAAATGGTACTGATGAACCTAGTTGCTGGGCAGGAGTAAAGAGGTAGACATAGAAAATGGACTTAAGGGCATGGGGTGGGAGGGCAAAGCTGGAGTGAAGTGAGAGTAGCATCAACATATATACACTACTGAATGTAAAGTGGTTGGCTGGTGGGAAGCAGCTGCATAGCACAGGGAGATTGGCTCAGTGCTTTGCAATGACCTAGAGGGGTGGGATAGGGAGGGTGGGAGGGAGGCTCAAGAGGGAGGGGATATGGGGACGTGTGCATGCATGTGGCTGATTCGCTTTGTTGTGCAACAGAAACTAACACAGTTTTGTGAAGCAATTATACTCCAATAAAGATCTATTAAGAAAATTATACATATTACTACCTTATTTAAACTATTTGGTTCCAAGATGTGTAGTACTCTGCACAAAGAATAAGTCACAAATCCCCTGAACACACAAAAGGAAAATGCTCAGCTGGGTTTCCCTTTTTATTTTGTTTTTCTGTGGTGGGTTTATGACTCGATACCCAGCTTCTTTATAGATTCATCTCTCACAGGACACAATTCCCTTTAATGTATTTTTTATGCTTACAGAAAGAAACACTGTGTTAGTATCTTAGTCTGTTCAGGCTACTATAACAAAATACCATAAACCGTGTGGCTTATAAACAGCAGAAATTTATTTTTTACATTTCTGGAGGTTGGAAAGTCCAAGATCAAGTTGATATCGGGTGAGAGCCCACTTCCTGGTTCATAGCTTTCTTTTTGCTATAACTTCACATGGAAAGGTGGATCTCATTTATAAGGGTGCTAATTCCATTCATGAGACTCTACCCTCATGACCTAATCACCTCGCAAAGGCCCCACCTCCTAATGCCATGACCTTAGGAGTTAGGATTTCAAAATACGAATTTTGGGGGAACACTAACATTCAGACCATAGCAGTTAGCAAACATGAGGAGAAATTTCATTTTTACTGCATGGCTTTCTTTTGGTATATGGAGAGAAGCCCTTTTTTTTTTTTAATAAATTTATTTATTTTTGGCTGCATTGGGTCTCTGTTGCTGTGTGCCACGGCAAGCAGGGCTACTCTTTGTTGTGGTGCACGGGCTTCTCATCGCAGTGGCTTCTCTTGTTGTGGAGCATGGGCTCTAGGCGCGTGGGCTTCAGTAGTTGTGGCTCGCAGGCTCTAGAGCACAGGCTCAGGAGTTGTGGCTCCCGGGCTTAGTTGCTCCGCAGCATGTGGGATCTTCCCGGACCAGGGCTCAAACCCGTGTCCCCTGCATTGGCAGGCGGATTCTTAACCACTGTGCCACCAGGGAAGCCCTGTTCTGTTCTTGAGGATATGCAGAAGTGGGACTCCACAGCCATTCTAGTTACAGGCTGCTAGCATAAATTCTAACTTTAATGATCTCTTACTTAAATACATTACACTATAATCTAACTTAGTGTTCCCTGAACTCTGTTCCTTAAAACACTAGCGTCATTTGAAATATAAGGCTCTTCCTGTACTGTCTAGATGCCCATTAACATATTAAAAGTTCTAACTCCAGGGAAGAAATTGTACCCAAGGTTTTTTACTTTCATGTGAATTTTAACCATTGCTGTCTTATCAGGGTGAATTATTCTATATTTGCTGCTAAAAGCATTTTATTTTGATCCACCTGTTTATTATTGCTTATATATTGTATAATATCTATAGGAGTTCAGAAAACAGCATGGTTAGAGTGGCCTGGGACACCTTCATGGAAGCATAGATGTTCTTGACCCTGACCTGCTGCCAGTATAGCTTTCTGTAAGCATCAGTTTTATTGCGGCTCTCCTGTGCTCATATACCTTCCTACACGTGCCAACTCTATACCACCACAATGGAAATTGGCATTTTTTCTTATTTACTTTTCCAGTTCGTTTCTCTTAATATCTTTTAAGTTCATAAAAGAATCTAAAATGTTTACCCCAGATTAATAAAAGCAATAAGTTGTCAAAAAATATTTAAAAGCCACAGATGACATCAGTCAAAAAGATACTTTCACTTGACTGGTAGAAGCACTTTAAAAGGGCTTCTCGGGGACTTCACCACAACTACTGAAGTCCGCGCGCCTAGAGCCTGTGCTCCACAACAGGAGAAGCCACCGCAGTGAGAAGCCTGCTCACTGCAATGAAGAGTAGCCCCCGCTCACCGCACCTAGAGAAAGCCCGTGTGCAGCAACGAAGACCCCACGCAGCCAAAATATAATTAATTAATTAATTTTTAAAAAGAACAGAACAGCTAGTTGTCTATATGTTACTCCCTCTAAATCTGTGATTCTCAACAGAGGCTTCCCTTGACAGGATGGTAGCCAAATATCAGTTGGATTTTGTCAAATGTCTTTTCTGCATCTCTTGAGATGACCGTGTTTTTCTTTTCCAGTTTGTTAACATGATGAATTACATTGATTAATTTTCTATTGTTAAGGCAACCCTGCATTCCTGGGATAAATCCCACTGGGTTATGATGTACTATCCTTTTACTATATTGTTAGATTTGATTTGGTAAAATTTTATTTAGAATTTTTGCATCTGTATTCACGAGGGATATCAGTTTGTAATTTTCTCTTATTGTAATATCTTTGATCTCATTGTAATGCTAGCCTCATAGAATGAGTTGGGAAGTATTTCTTCCTTTTCTATTTTTTGGGAGAGTTTGAATAGAATTGTTATTATTTTATCATTAGATGTTTGGGAGAATTTACCCTGAAGCCATCTGTACTTGGAATTTTCTTTGTGGGAAGGTTATAAACTACTATTTCTATAACAGATTTGCAGTTCATACCAATACCCTCAATCCAACACCACAAAGTTGACTTTAGTTTTCATCTTTTCCATATATGAAACTCCCTTTTCTGACAGTGAGAAATCTGTCTCCCATTATATTTAATACATTTACTTCTTTAACTCCCCTGTGTATAACCAATCTCCCTTTGCTACTGCTGCTCCCTTCCCCAAACAAATGCCCTCTTCATTCCACTTGGGCTGACACCCTGCCCAGGGCTGCAGCTACTACCTCCTCCCCCAGCCCCTACCTCACATGGAAGCCCTCCTCACCCCACCTGAGCCCCAAGACCCCACACTGGGGCTGTTCTGCTGCTCAAAAACCCTCCTCACCCCACTCAGGCTTTGATACCCTATAGCAGACTGCCCCATTGCAAGGACAGCTTCTCTTCTCATCGATTTGAGAAATTGTTCTATTTAAACTCCATATTATCTAGTACGTAATTGGTGATTAATAAATTATAAGACTAAAAAGAACTACATTTTAAAATGGACACGTGCTATATTGAGACACATGACACTGAGAAAAGTGTTAGTATTGTCAGAATTGCTAGAGTTTGTATTCCAGCCTTGATGTTGACTAACTTGTTGACTAACTCTGCATCCATAGATAAATTAAATGAACTTCTTTGAACTCATATTTCTTATTCTGTTACATGGGATGAAGATAGAAATAATTCTAATATAACAGTAATGTTAATAGACAGCACATGTTGCCTCCTGTGCACCAGGTGCTTTGCTAAGGACTTGACATATATTGTCATCTAATCTTCAAAATGGTCTTTTGGAGGAGATACAATTATATTCATTTTACAGAAGAGAAAATTGTCACTTGAGGTAGATGCCATTATCTTCCTCATTTTACAGATGAAGAAACGAAGTACAAAGTAGTAATTCATCCAAAATCATATAACTAATAACTGGTGAAACTGGAATTCATACACTGTACCTCCACAATCCAATATTGCCCAAAACATATGAAAATTTCTAGTACATAGTGGGCATTAGTAAATAATAACCATTTTGATGTATAGTGATTAATTATAACAGCCCTGAATCACTATTGCCAGGTCTATGACATAGGAAGAGTCATGGCATTTTTGGATGGGAGTAGGGAGGATGATCCATTTAAATTTTTTTAAATTTATTTTTTATTTTTCATACAATTTTGAAAGATTACTTTACATTTACAGTTATTGCAAAAATTGGCTTATTCCCTGTGTTGTACAATACATCCTTGAGCCTATCTTACACCCAATAGTTTGTTCCTCCCACTCCCCACCCCTATGTTGCCCGACTCCCCACTGGTAACCACTAGTTTGTTCTCTATATCTGGGAGTCTGCTTCTTTTTTGTTATATTCACTAGTCTGTTGTATTGCTTAGATTCCATATATAAGTGATATCATACAACTTGAGCACAAATTGGAAGTAATTTTTCTTACTAGGCAGAGTTTAAAAATCCTCCCTATTTATTCCAGATTGATAAAGGAGACATTTTTAGGTAGACTTGGAAATAGGTTATGTACTTAAATCTAAAAGGAAATTTAAGATGAGAAAACAATGTTTCCAGTTGATAGAAGATGAGGGAAAGAGTTAACGGTACCCCAGAGATAAAAGAATAAACAAAATAGCTCAGAGCTGGAGGAAGTAGCCCAGTGGTTGCAAGGAGAACAATAAAGACTTGAGAAGCATCCGTCATTCCAGTTCAGAATTTAATAACAGCCCAAGCCCCTGGATATGTGAACCACGCGCCTGACAGGTGCCCAGTATGTGCTTGTTGAATTGACCTGACAATCCTTTAAAAGCTTAAGTTGAATTTCTAGTTAAAGGCACAAACCTATAATAAAAGAACAGGAAGGAAGACAGCCTCAAAGTTCTGGAGGCTGGAAAGTATGTAGGTACTGACTTAGCAGACTAGAGAAAGCAATCCTAAACCGGCAGCGAGGAAAACTGAACAGAAACTCAATTTACATTGCAAAATCCCCCAAGACCCAAACATCTCTGGAAGGCAGGGGTGAAGATGGGGTTAAGTCTTCTCTGACAGTGTGTTAATGAAGCAATTATTCTTTTATTCCTTTCCCACTTTACACAAAAACTGCCCTTGACCTTCTCAGCTCCCAGACTGCTGGCTGTCAACCAACATGGAACTGGCAGAAAAATAGAAATCTTCTCTCAGGGAGGGAAAAGAACTAAGATCCTGACATCAGGATGTCCCCAAGGAGTAGAACTGAGATCTTGGCATTAGGAATCTCCCAAGGAATAGACCCAGCTAGATCACCTTATGAAGACTACAGTCAACAAGCTACAGGTACGTACACAAGAGTTTCTAATCAGCTTTCAGGTGCACAACTTTCGGTTTGAGCAAACAGCCAGGGAATGCCAAAAGGACAAGGAAAGCCTCTATGACCAAGATATTCAGAAAAAAAGAGAAGTTGTTACATTCACAAATGAGGAACAAGGTGATACGTTAAAAAAAAATTCAGAGAACAAAGAAACAAGCTTTTGGCAATTAAAATTATCATAGCAGATATGAAGGGGGTATAGAAAAAGTAGATTATACAGAAGGTAGAGTTTAGGAAATATTTCAGAAAGTAAAATAGAAAAGCGAAGACATAGAAAATAGAAGAGAAAAGGTAAAAAAAATTAGAAAACCACTCTAGGAGATTCAATACCTAAATAATAGGAGTTCCAAAAAGAGGAAACAGAGAAAATAGAGGGAAGGAAATTATAAAAAGTAATTCAAGAGAATTTCTCAGAACTGAAAGGCATGCTTGCTCAGCATGATGGTCTAAAATAACCCACACCATATCATATTATGGCATTTCAGAGCACTAGGGAGAAAAATCCTACAGTCCCCGGAGGACTGGGGAAAATGTTTCATACCAGAATCAAGAATCAGAATGGTACCAAATGCCTAAAATATAACAGTAGAAGCTGTAAGACAATGAAACAATGTCTTTAAACTTCTGAAGGAAAATGATTTCCAATTTAAATTTCATTTCCATCTAAAAGTGTGAGGGCAGAATGAAGATCTCTGAAAATCTGCCTCTCTTGCATCTTTTCTCAGGAAGGTACAGGAGGATGTACTCCACCAGAACAAGGAAGTGAAGTAAGAAAGAGTAAGATCTTGATCTAACAAACAAAGTAAAAAGGAGAGTCTCCAGAATGGGTTAAATGGAGACCTCCAGGTGACAGGCGTGCCTAGAAGGCAACATGTTCAGGATGGAACAGGTCACAAAGTTCCAGAAGAGATTTCTTCAGGATGATGAAATTGATAAAATAACTAATTTGAATATTTCAAGTGGAAACTTGCACACTTTGGGAAGGATTTGGATTATATTAACAACAAGTCCATAAAAGAATAAGTAAATTGACAAAAAGACCGCTGTTAATTTCAGAGAAAACTAAAAAGCTGTGCAGGGCTTATTAGAATTAAGAACTTGTGGGCTTCCCTGGTGGTGCAGTGGTTAAGAATCTGCCTGCCAATGCAGGAGACATGGGTTCGAGCCCTGCTCCAGGAAGATCCCACACGCTGCGGAGCAACTAAGCCCAGGCACCACAACTACTGAGCCTACACTGTAGGGCCTTCAAGCCACAGCTACTGAAGCCCACATGCCTAGAGCCTGTGCTCTGCAACAAGAGAAGCCACCGCAATGAGAAGCCCACACACCGCAACAAAGAGTAGCCCCCACTCGCCGCAACTAGAGAAAGCCTGTGTGCAGCAACAAAGACCCAACGGAGCCAAAAATAAACAAATAAATACATTTATTTTAAAAAGAAAGAATTAAGAACTTGTACTCATCAAAAGCAAGTAAAAAAAAAAAATAAGACTCTTGAGGAGATATTCACAATATACATAAATGACCAATAATATCAAGAATATAAAATAAACTTGTAAAAATCAATAGTAAGACCACAAACAACCCAACACAAAATAGGCAGGGGACATAAAGTAGTATTTCACAGAAGAGGAAATTACATATGGCCAATAAATACAAAGAGATGTTCAACATTACTGGTGATCAGGAAAATACAAATCAAGATCACAATGATATAGCCATTTCACTGGCAAAAATTAAGACTCATTATACCAAATATTGAATAATATGTGGATTTACAAAATCTTCTGTGTGTTGCTGGTGAGATTAAAAAATAAAAATATTTTGACATTACCTTCCAAAGTTGAAGAAAAACATACTCTGTGACCCAGCAATACTCTTTTAGGGTGAAAGAGGAAGTTTTAAATACATATAATAGGAGAAAAAAATAAATAAAAAATATATATATATAATAAGAGAAAAGTACAAGAAGTTTTACCACAGCACTGTTCACCAAAAACCTGGAAATAACCCAAAAGATGCACATCAGTGGGAGAATGGATAAACTGTGATCATTTAAGCAGTTAAAACAAGTAAATATATGGGTGAATCAGAGTGATTCTATAATAAGTGGAAAAAGTACATCTCAAATATTATAACCAGCCTCATGTATTTACATAAAATTTTTTTAAATGTTAATCTTCCTGCTTTCTATTCAGTTATTAGTCATATGCTTTTACTTGTTGTGAGATAATCCCAGAGATTATAACTTGTATTCTTGATGTATAAAACCTAATATAAATTAGTACTTTTATCTCTTCCTGGACAGTTCAAAGACTTTCAAAACATATTTAAATCCTATTTATCACTCTCCTTACTTATTTACTGTCATTTTCATGTATTTTAATTATCTCTATGTTTTTAGCTCCACAAAACATTATGACTGTTGTTTTCTGCAATCAGTATTGACCTGGTTTACCCACATATTTATCTGTTTTTTGCTCTTCATTCCTCTCTACATTTCTGAATTTCCCCTGAAATAATTTTCCTTCTGCTTGATGAACATCCTTTAATACTCTCATTTTTTCCTTTGAAAATCTATTTATTTTACATTCTTTTTAAAGCATTGCTTTTTCTGGGAATAGAATTCTAGGCTGGGATTTATTTTCTTTTTGCACTTTAAAAATATTGTTTCATTGCCTTTCCGCGTCAGTTGCCCCTGTTTAACCAGATGTTCCTTTGAAAACCATCTATTGTTTTTCTCTTTCTCTTTGTCCTTAGTGTTGAGTAGTCATACTATGATATATCTAAGTGTGTGTGTGTGTGTGTGTGTGTGTGTGTGTGTGTGTGTTGTTTGTAATTTATAATATGACTGAATCTGTGGCTTGGCATATTTTATCATTTTTAGAAAAGTTAAAATTACCTCTTCAGATATTACTTCTGTCCAATTTTCCTTCTCCCCTTCTGTGTCCTCTATATTTCTTACAGAAAGAACAAGTTACAAGAAAGAATAGAAAAAATATTCCTTTTTATTCTTTTTCTTCCTCACTTCATTTAGGATGTTTTTATCTGATCTATCTTCCAATTCACTAATTCTCTTTTCAACTTTGTTTATTAATCCGTTGTTAGATCTATTCATTGGGGTCTTAATAAAGTTATTGTTTTTACATTTCAGAATTTTTTTCTATTCTTTCTTATAGTTTCCAGTTCTTTACTAGAATTCTCCATCTTGTCTTTTATTTCTTTGAACATATTAAGTGTAATTAAAGTCTGCCTTTGATAACTTCATTATTTTGATCCTCTATTGTCTGTTGTCTTGTTTTTTCATTATGTTTTCATATGCTTGGTTATCCTTTATTAAACGCCAGGCATTGTACAGATACTTTGAGGTCTAAAATGAGGTTGTCTTACTCCAGCAAAGATTTGAGTCTGGTTCCAGAAGATTGCTAAGGGCATTGGCAATATTGGATCACCTTAATTCCTTAGAGGACTGAGAAAAATCTACTTCAATCTCTGAAGGCTAGTCTATTTCCAGTCACTCTTTACTCCTAGGATTTAGCTTTTATGATCTCAATCTGAAACCTGGAGGATATCCTTGACACCATCCTCCTTGGTGGGCACTGAACTCCAGTTTTGTCTGCTGGTCTCGTGTTTATCAGGAGCTTTGCTCAGCTATTTAGTTACCTCTTCCAAAATCAGCATACGACTAAGAGGAATATAGCCTCAAATTCCTCACCTCTCTGGGTTTCTTCTCCCTGATAATGATCTCACAATTCTTTACTGTTTTGTTATCTCTCTGATAACTTCAAGCAGATTTTGGAAAATATTTTCTCTAGCATTTCAACTTGTTCTTACTGAAAGGATTGGCCCCAATTACAAAGTTTGCCATTAAAGTGAAGCCTCAAAAGATACTTTTTATCTACTAGCCCTATGTATCCCTTTGTGTGGAAATACATATAGATGCAATAAGCTTTTACAAGAATGAAAGTAAGAAAATGACAAACATAAGATTCAAGACTATGGTTAACTTAGGGTAAAGGGAGGCAGAAAGATGGATTCGTTGTGGGTAGGGAGAAGATGGTTAGATGTAGGTTATTTTTTTTTTTTTACTGAAGTATAGTTGATTTACAATGTTGTCTTAGTTTCAGGGGTACAGCAAAGTGATTCAGTCCAATATGTAAGAATATATATATAAAAGTATATATATATATATTCTTTTTCAGATTCTTTTCCATTATAGGTTATTACAAGTTATTGAATATCGTTCCCTGTGCTATAGGTCCTTGTTGTTTATCTGTTTTATATACAGTAGTGTGTATATGTTAATCCCAAACTCCTAATTTATCGCTCCCCCCTTTCCCCTTTGGTAACTGTAAGTTTGCTTTCTATGTCAATGAGTCTATTTCTTTTGTAAATAAGTGCATTTGTATCATTTTTTAGATTCCACATATAATATTTGTCTTTGTCTGACTTACTTCACTTAGTATGATAATCTCTAGGTCTATCCATGTTGCTGCAAATAGCAATATTTCATTCTTTTTTATGGCTGAATAATAATACATTGTGTATATATGTACCACATCTTCTTTATCCATTCATCTGTTGACGGGCATTTAGGTTGCTTCCATGTCTTGGCTATTGTAAATAGTGCTGCTATTGGGGTACATACATCTTTTTGAATTAGAGTTTTCATATTTTCCAGATTTATGCCCAGCAGTGGGATTGCTGGATCATATGGTAACTCTATTTTTGTTTTTTTAAGGAACCTCATACTGTTCTCCATAGTGGCCGCACCAGTTTACATTCCTACCAGCAGTGTAGGAGTGTTCCCTTTTCTCCATACCCTCTCCAGCGTTTATTATTTATAGACTTTTTTTTTTTTTTTTTTTTGCAGTGCGTGGGCCTCTCACTGTTGTGGCCTCTCCCGTTGAGGAGCACAGGCTCCGGACATGCAGGCTCAGCGGCCATGGCTCACGGGCCTAGCCGCTCTGCGGCATGTGGGATCCTCCCAGACCGGGGCACGAACCGTGTCCCCTGCATCGGCAGGCAGACTCTCAACCACTGCGCCACCAGGGAAGCCCTATTTATAGACTTTTTGATGATGCCATTATGATATCTGATACCTCATTGTAGTTTTGATTTGCATTTCTGTAATAATTAGTGATGTTGAGCATCTTTTCATGTGCCTGTTGGCCATCTATATGTTTTCTTTGGAGAAATGACTATTTAGGTCTTCTGCCCATTCTTTGATTGGGTTGTTTGTTTTTTGGTTTGTTTTTTTGATATTGAGTTGTATGAGCTGTTTGTATGTTTTGGAGATTAATCCCTTGTTGGCATCACTTGCATCACATTCTCTGCCATTCTGTAGGTTGTCTTTTTGTTTTGTTTATGGTTTCCTTTACTGTGCAAAAGCTTTTACATTTAATTACATCCCATTTGTTTATTTTTGCTTTTGTTTCCATTACTCTAGCTGCCAGATCCAAAAAATATTGCTGCAATTTATGCCAAAGAGTGTTCTGCCTATGTTTTCCTCTAGGAGTTTTATAGTATCCAGTCTTACATTTAGGTCTTTAATCCATTTTGAGTTTATTTGTGCATAAGGTGTTACAGAAAGTTCTAATTTCATTCTTTCACATGTAGCTGTCCAGTTTTCCCAGCACCACTTATTGAAAAGACTGTCTTTTCTCCATTGTATATTCTTGCCTCTTTTGTCATAGATTAATTGACCATAGGTGCAAGGGTTAATTTCTGGGCTTTCTATCCTGTTCCATTGATCTGTGTCTGTTTTTTGGCCAGCACCCTACTGTTTTGATTACTGTAGCTTTGTTATATAGTCTGAAGTCAGGGACCATGATTACTCCAGCTCCATTCTTCTCTCTGAAAATTGTTTCGGCTATTCAGTGTCTTTTGTGTTTTCATGCAAATTTTAAAATTCTTTGTTCTAATTCTGTGAAAAATGTCATTGGTAATTTAATAGGGATTGCACTGAATCTGTAGATTGCCTTAGGTAGTATGATCATTTTAACAATATTGATTCTTCCAATCCAGGAATATGATATATCTTTCCATCTGATTGTGTCGTCTTCAGTTTCTTTCATCAGCATCTTATAGTTTTCAGAATACAGGTCTTTTGCCTCTTTAGGTAGGTTTATTCCTAAGTATTTTTTTCTTGTTGATGCAGTGATAAATAGATGTAGATTATTTTCAAAGCTC